GTTGCAGCTATGCGAAGAAAACCAAATTCTATAATAACTTCCATCTCAGAAGACCTTGAAGACCACTTTTCTTCTGAAGAAAAAGCTCTTTTTCTCCTTCCTCTCTAATGATTCATTTCTTTAGATCTTTTCAAGGAAATATAACACCAAGGACTTACCATGGTAAATTCACCATGGTAAATACAGGGATAACACACAGTCTTTAACACTGCAGGTGTGGTACCCCCAGCTCCTGTAACACAAATTTTCATACTTAATAACTCAATGGACTGAAAATACAAAACAACACAATGCCTATCCTAGTTTGAGGGACCAAGAGGGTTTCCACGAGCAATTCACAGCTGAGAAAAATGTTAAAAAAGGGATAGGGATTGAGCAAGCCATGACTTGGATTCTAGGCAGAGGCAACATCAGAAGTAAGGACTGTGAAGGAAGAAGATTCTAGGTTTTGAGTTTTTCAATTGAGTGTGTGTGTTTCATACATGCATATGTGTATATTATTATATGCTTTTTACTTTTCTCTATAGATTAGACCCAGTAATTTTGTTGTTGTTGCTGTTATTGTTTTGAGACAGGGTTTCTCTGTGTCATCCTGGCTGTCCTGAAACTCACTCTGTAGACCAGCCTGGACTCAAACTCAGAGATTCTGTCTCCCAGGTGCTGGGGTGAAAAGCTTGTGCCATCACTGCCTGGCTAGACCCAATACCGAATCCTAATTATTGGGGTGTAGGATCTGGAATGAATACCCCGAGGCTTGACATCTGGTTCTACTTGAATCCTTACCTGGTCTCTGTGTACAGAGGAGTTTTTTGTTTGTTTGCTTTGAAATATTCTGCTTGAGATTACAATTACATCATTTCCCCTTCCCTTTCTTCCTTGCAAACCCTTCCATGTACTCCCCTTTGCTCTCCTTCAATGTCATGGTCTCTTTTTCCATTAATTGTTGTTATACACACACACACACACACACACACACACCTACCACACACACACATTCCTAAATACATACATACAACCTGCTCAGACTGTGTAATGTTACCTGTATGTATGCATTTTCAGGGCTGACCATTTGATAACCAATTGCTGTGCTCTTCCCAGGAGTAGACTACTTCTGCTCAGCATTTCTTGCTGCCTCTAGTTCTTCACGTAGGGTTGAGGCCTCATGAAAGCTTTCTCCCCAATTCATGTTAACGTGTCTATTGTTTTCCTTGTTCACCTCATGTTTAGGCAGTCATGTTGGGGAGACTTTATGGCTGTAGCTTCTGACATTCAAGTAACCTGAAGTCCATCTCCCTGAAGACTAGCTTTCATGGTACCAGAAGGCACCACGAAGGCTTCCAAAGGAGGGAGTGCTTTTTTAGGAAACCAAGACATCCCCACACCGTGAAGGCCTGTTTGGCACAGTGGGTATTAGACTTGAATCCCATCAGGGTTGTAATTTTATTTGGGTCAGAACAGCTGTCTTTAGACCACTTTCCCGTCCACTCCTACCCTCTCACAACTTGTTTTCATTTTGCTCTGAGGAAACTGGAGGCCTGGATGGAAACTCTGACGGAGTAACTCCCCCTCAACACCTGCGGAACTGAGTTCAGAGCCCAGTTTCCAGGGGACTCAGACATCTGAAGAAGATGGCATTCGTGACTAGCTGTGAGGAAAGAGAAAGGATACAATGACAACCAGATGCTTTGGCGGAGCCAGCAGCAAGGCAGGCACCCAACATTTCTACCTTGTGTCTGGCAGCGTGTGACAGCCATGCTGAGAATGTGGGATTGTTTTTCTATCAATAGCACCTGGGAGGGCAGGTCCAGAGCATGGGAAGGGAGAAGAGTGGAGGACATTCAGAAAGTGTAGCAAATAAGCATACAAGGTCTTTTGTTGTTGTTGTTTGTTTCTTTTGTTTTGTCCCCTAGAAAGCTGCATACAAGAAAGCCCCCAGCATGTCTGGCCTTGTCAACAAGCTAATAGAAGACAGAGACGATTTGGCACACTACCCACGCGGGATAAAAGGCATCCATGCTGAGACCAATGCTGTTCAGCTGGAAATAGTCTCAGTGAGCTGCGGGAGAGATCTGGAAGATGAGCTGCTAATTACCCAAGCAGTCCTCCAGAGTTTCCCTTTGGTAAGACTGTACTTGAACTCATTCACCAATCCCTCCAGCCTCCTCTGGAGAGGCTCTACCAACCAGGCCAGGCCAGGCCTCGAACTAGGTGAGAGCAGCTGCCGATTGCATTTGCAAGCTCATCAACCAGTAAGTGTGCAGAGGGGAGAGAGCGAGCCACCTTCCTCCAGAGAAGTAGCCTGAGGCACAGTAAGCAACAAAACAAGCCCCTTCTTGCAGATACTGGACAATCCCAGCCTCCCAGTGGGGTTGGAATTACTGTTCAAGAGAGGTCAGCACCAAGGAGAGCATCAAAAGGTGGTGCTCACCTTTCGGAGAGTCGGGTTTTGATGATTCAGACTACACGGACAGACACTGATGAGTGGATCGGGTCAGGCTTCTCCAGCCTCTGCCAGCCTCACTTAGGTAACCAGGGACCACCAGCAGCCACCACTCTCCTGCTGCCTCAGTCTACCCACCCCACCCTCATCATACCAGGGTCCACTCCTCCTCTTGGCTCATCCCACAGCCTGAGCCATTGACTTTCAAGAACTGGGTGTGAGCAAGATGAGAACACTATTGCACAGGCTCATAATACACCACATCCACTAACTTCAGAACATTCAGCAGCTCTAAGGCCACCAGAGATTCCTCCCTGTGGAGGGGAAGAAGTGAAATTCTGAGTCTGGGATATTTGGCTTGGGGGAAACATTGCCGTTAGTGTTGGACATACCACTGGGGGACATGTAAAACCCTGTAGTGGGTACGGTGGCAGCCATACCTGTGCCCATCCACACCACACTTGTCACACTGGACGAGGGTCAGCAGTAGCTCCCAGAAAGAAGGTACTCACTCCTCTTGAACATGGACACTATGAGAACAAGCTAGAGAAAAACTGCCCAGGCTGAGGAGGTGCAACCACAGGCTGGATAGATAGAGTGTACGTGGAAATGGCCAGAGCAGGGAGGACTGTAGAGATGGTGGAGAGGCGGCGCTGAGATTCACCACAGGAACTCTGGAGGAACTTGACTGAGACATCACCCCAACGGCTGCCTGGGTAAGCTACGCCCAATGTGGGAAGTGCACTGCTGAGCCTGGCGCTCCTGGTGACAAGGTGACAAAGGGGCCTTCCACAGCCCCTCAGAGAGTCCCATGTATGGAGATGACAGTCCCCAGGACACCAGAGACAACGCTGTCTAGTCTCAGACTAGAGGATCAGCAGAAAGATGGACTTCTCACATAAAGATCTGTCATCACGGCCAAAGAGACGGCTCGGTGGGAAAGGTGAGATTCCCAGCACACATGCATAAAGTAGGTGTGTGTCTGCCACCTCAGCACTGGAGGGAAGACACAGAGGATCCCATGGGCTCCGACCAGCCAGTCTAGCCCAGATCACGAGGACCGGATTCAGTGAGAGTCCCTGTGTGGTGGCTTGGGTGAGAACGGCCTCCTTCCTGTCTTAGTTAGGGTTTCTATTGCTGTGATGAGTCACCATGACCAGGGCAACTCTTATAAGGAAAGCATTTAATTGGGGCTGGCTTAGAGTTCAGGGGTTTAGTCGATTCTTGTCATGGTGGGAAGCATGGTGGCACACAGGCAGACAGGGTTCTGGAGAGGAGCTGAGAGTTCTACATCTGGACTGGCAGATAGCAGAAAGAGAGAGAGCCACTGGGCTTAGCTTAGACATTTTAACCCCAAAGCCTACCCTAAATGACACACTTCCTCCAACAAGGCCACACTTCCTAATGCCACTCCTAAGCATTCAAATGAGTGTACAGGGGCCGTTCTTATTCAAACCACCACACTCCCATAGGCTCCTATATTGAATACTAGGTCCCCAGTCAGTGAACAGTTTGCGCAGGATTAGGAGGTGCAGCCTTGGAGGAAGTGTAACCGGGGGCAGACTTTGAGGCTCAAAAGGCCATGCCATTCCCAGGTCATTCTCTCTGCCGTGTGCTCGTGGATCAAAATATAAGCTCCCAGGAACTGCTTCGATGGCACGCCTGCTTGCCTTTTGCCACGCTCCCCATGGTGGTCATGGACTCTAATCCTTTCAAACTGTAAGCCCCCAACAAATTCTTCTTTACGTTGCCTTGGCCACAGCAACAGGAAAGTAACTAAGACACCCTGTCTCAGAAAGTAAGGTGGAGTGCAGTACAGGAAGACGTCTGACGTTGCCCTCCGGCCTCCATATACACAAGCCCAGGTGTGCATACCCCACCCACACATGCAAAGCAGAGCAGAGAGAAACCCTTGTCATCAGGGACGGCACACACTGGCTTAACTTGTTTGAATTACTGAGATAAGCAGCCCGTCCCTCACCTGCTGAGACTAACACAGAAGACAATGCAGGGAAGAGCAACCCCGCCATCCCAGCGAGAAAGGGATATGACAAAGTCTAGATGACTTCTACTTTATCTTATTTTAGTAACTGTAATTATTCTGTTGCTGCTGCGTTTGTTTGTATCTCCCTGGTACACTTTATGGATGGTCTGGTACCTTCTGTGCAATAATTTCTCCTCTATTTCTGAAACCCAACCCATACCTTTTCCTTCTCACTCACACGTTATTTGCCCTTCTCACCTTTTCCCATTTCCTCCTCACTGCACTAGATAATTACTGACACCCTTAGTCCTCAAGAGCCACAGACTCCACACCCCATGAGCACCCTGGAGCCACTGGCTCTGAAGCATGTCTGGGACACAAGTCCAGTTCACAGATGTCTTCTACTACATGGTAACACCCAGACTGGTGCCAAATCATTGTTATTTCAGTCAACTTCCTCTAAACAGAACTAAAGAGAACCACCATACGACCCAGTTATACACTTTTGAGCATACACCCGAAGAACTTGCCACCCCACCACAAAGATCTAATTCAGGAAATCCACGGAGTCTGCTTAAAGGACAAATGGATTTATTAAGAAAGGAAAACTCACAAGACAGAACATAGAAATTGTTGGATTGTCGCAGTGTCCTGGAAAAGGTGAGGCACGGTCCCACGCTGTTCTTACAGGACTGAGGCTATCCCAGCATCCAAGTCTCACAAGGGAGCAAAGAAAAACAAAACAAAAAACAAAAAAACAAGAAAACAAACAAACAAAAAAAAAGATAAAGAAAAAGAAAAGAAGTGAAAAAGAGAAAGTGCATCTCAGGTCTTAAGAGGAGCCCTGAGGCCATGCCCCAGGAACAGGTACTTCAAGATCACAGGCAGGTAGAGCAATACCTGCTAATTGCTCTAGGGCTGTGCTTCAGGGTCATAGAGCAGATAGCCACTACAAAGACCCATGGACATTCATGTTTACATCATGTTATACACAGCATCTAGAAAAGGGAACCAGCCCAAATGGCCATCAGTGAAAGAGTAAAGAAAAAGCGGTACATAAACCCAATGGAATTTTATTCGGCCTTAAATTAAAAAAGAAAGCGCTTTACAGGAAAATGGATGGAGCTGGAAATTATTATATTAAAGTGAAAATAACCCAGATTTAGAAAGACACACACCTCTTGTTTTCTGTAGACGAAGACCCGAGCTTCCATTTCTCTGTGTGTGTAGAGAAGGAGGAAAGGTCATGAAACTAGGAAGGGGACCAAGCGAGGGGACGAGTAGATCTGGGGAAACACACCAGACAATAGTAGGGAATGGAATATACGTTACAAAAGAAGAAAATAAAAAGAAGCAGAAATGAAGGGTGAGGAGTGTTTGAGAAAGCGGGCCAGGAGAACAGGTGGAGAGTGAGAGGGGACAGATAAAGGGCATAGAAAATGTCACATGAAACTCACTGTTCTATACACTAATTTAAAAAATAACCAAAAGTAAAATGAAATGAAATGAAAACAGTCTTGAAGCTAGAACGCCCTCGGGTACCTGCCACTGCTCTAGACTCTGGGAATGAAAGAGAAAAGCACAGCATTGTCCCCTTCTGGGTTGCCTAACTCCACATGAACGCTCCAAGAAGAATAAACCCTGCTCTGAGAGGCCTGGCTGCCGAGTACTAGGACACATCAGCTGGTCCAAGCCGGTCTCCCACCAAGTCTCACAACGTTCCTGCATCATATTTAGAAGGACTAAACAGCATGCTGACAGACGCAGCCCATTGTTGTTTGAGCCTGTCTGAATTGTTATCAGTCACTTAGACAGAGAGAGAGAGAGAGAGAGAGAGAGAGAGAGAGAGAGAGAGAGAGAGAGAGAAAGAGAGAAACAAACCACAACCACACTGATTAATTTTAAACCTGAGTTAGTTTTCACGGGCTTGGGTAACAAAAGATAACCAATATACCCTTGCTGTGAAATATGCCATGACTAGAAGCAAGTTGGGGAGGAAAGGGTTTTTATTTTGCTTACATTTCCACATCACATTCATCATTAAGGAAAGTCAAGTCAGGAACTCAAGCTGGAGCAGAGGCAGGAACCCTGGAGGAATGCTGCTTACTGGCTTGCTTTCCATGGTTTGCTCAGCCTGCCTTTTTTGGGGGGGTTGGGGGGAGGCAGCGAGGGAGACAAGGTCTCTCTATGCACTCTTGAAACTTATTCTGTAGATTAGGCTTACCTCAAACTCACAGAGATCTGCCTGTTTCTGCCTCCACAAGCCTGGTGACTTGCTTTCCTATATAATGCAGGTCCACCTGCCCAGAGGTGGCACCCTTCATAGCAGGCTGGGCCCACCCACATCCATCACTAATCAAGAGAATACCCCCACAGACATGGCCACAGGATGATCTGATGGAGGAAGTTCCTCCCCGGAGGTTTCCAGTCTTCCCAGCTGACTCTAGATTGTTACAACTGGACAAAAACCAGAGAGTGCAGTGAACTACAGGGCTTTGGTTTTCTTCTAAAAATAGGAAAAATTAGGGTGCTTACTGCCTTCCCACCCTTCCCTCACAGCGTTTATCTTCTCATCTCGAAACAGACAGGCACTGAAAGAATATTCGTTAGAAAACGCACAAGGTACGACCCGCTAGAGACACCCATGTCCTGGTCAGCACTCCTGGGTCTCACTCAGGGGTTCATGCTCCGGGTTCGCCATGGGCTGTGCAACCTGGAGCCTCCTAGCTTTTCCAAACCACAGCTTAGGAGCACATGTCTGTGAGGATGACATCGGCCAGGCAGCGACACGCGCAAGTCAGAGCAGACAGGAGACCCAGTGGCAGGCAGCCGCCCTGAGGAGAAGAGGACTCCAAGGAGGAGGATGCAGCTTCACTAAAGCAGAACTGGAGAGACAACCACCTCACAGCACTCCTGCTAACCTTTTCAAGGATACCTCAGCACCTCTTTTCAACTCCCCCAAACTGCAGACTTGTTTTGACCTGACAGAATCCACTGTCCAAGAAAACACCTGATGGAAGAAGAATAGTTCCACAATATTTTATTTGTAGGTTGTTTTTTTGTTTTTTTCATTTTTGAGACAGTCTTGCTAAGTATCCCAGTGTCTTAGTTAGGGTTTTATTGCTGTGAAGAGACACCATGACCATGGCAACTCTTACAAAGGAATACATTTAATTGAGGTGTCTTGCTTACAGTTTCAGAGGTTCAGTCCATTATCATCATGGCAGGAGGTATGGCTGCATCAGGCAGACATGGTGCTGGAGGAGTGGCTGAATGCTACATCCTGCAGGCAACAGGAAGTCAACTGAGACACTGGGTGGTATCCTGAGCATAGGAAACTTCAAAGCCCACCCCCACAGTGACACACTTCCTCCAACAAGGCCATACCCACTCCAACAAAGCCTCACCTCCTAAGAGTGTCACTCCCTAAGATTATGGGGGCCAATTACATTCAAACTACCACACCCAGGCTAGCCTTGAGTTTGCAATCCCCCTGCCTCAGTCACCTGGTGCTGGGATTTCAGGCATAAACTACCATGCCCAGCTGGGTAATATTCTAACATAGATGTGTAAACTAATCACAATAGCAGTGGTTCTTGGCATTTGGATAGAAAATTCTACAAAATATACATGGCCTATCCTGCACCCTGACCCACAGAATCCTGGTCAACAGAACAGACAAGTGGGGACTGTCTGCAGGGGACTAAATGGCTGACCCTCTGCTGTTTGCCTGTGTCCTCCTCCTTTTGCCAAAGCTATTTTAATAATACTGTAATGAAGGTTCCTGCTCCATCATTCCTTCCACCCGAGGGCATTTGGCATGTGGTCAAATTCTCTTCTCGGGTAATGGGCAGGGCACTCAGTGATTCAGTTACTCTAGCCTGGGTTGGACAGGGGCTGGTTGAATCCTATGTGCTCAACAGACAAAATTCAGCACTGAAAATAGCACCCACTTAGGCAGGAAAGAGCTCCAAACGTGTATACACAGAACAGGAGCAACTGCTTCGAGAGGCACCACGTGAACTCTCCACTGTAGAGAGGTCAGAGTAACCACCCAGGCTCTTTTCTGGAGAGCCCATCCAGAGAACCAGCCAGCAGCATTTGTGACAAGAGCTTGTTTTACGTACAACAGCATCTTTCCAGAAACCCACTCACAAGGGCCAAGCCCTCTTTCCCATTCACAGAAACCAGGTTCTTTGCTCTGAAAAGCCATCTCTTTGCCAGGCTTGGTCGTGCAGATCTGTCATCCCAGCTACCTGGGATGTTGAGGCAAGTTCAGAGCCTTCCTGGGTTCAACTCAGAGACAGCCTGGGCTTAAGGAGCCTGTCTCTCTGTCTCTGTCTCTGTCTCTGTCTCTCTCTCTCTCAATCTTTCTCTCTCTCCCTCTCTCTGTCTCTCTGACACACACACACACACACACACACACACACACACACACACACCTAGAGATGTAGTTCAGTGGTAGAGCACTTGCCCAGCATGCCCAGATTCCTAGGTTTCAATCCCCAGTACCACTTAAAAAACGGGCACACCTTTGTATCTCAGTGACATGCTAAGGTGGAACACCCAAGTCACACTTCTCTAAGACACAGGCATTTGAAGGCTTAGATGTGACCTAGGTTAACCATTGACATACAGGGGGCCCTCCATTTCTCCAGGGTTCCCTTCCTCAGGTATTTTTCCCTAAGTTCTTCTTACCTCATCTTGCGAAGGACTCAAAGAGGGCTCCAGGGGTACACTGAACTATTGGAAGAACAGTCCATGTGACTCTCAGAAAACTGGGCTCTTTGTAACAACCACATAATTGAAAAAAGAAAAGTCCCATCCTACCCATACATCTGAATTTTCTAATTCCTGAAAGCCCAGACACGAGGATATGGCTTGGGGCCTGATGGGGTGGGCAGCCATTGATTTGAAACTCAGATGTGGGGATTGTCGAGGTTATGGGTAGGGTGGGGATAAAGCCTGGATTTTCACCTCAAGTCCCTCACATTACTTAGCTTCTCAAAAATATTTCAGTCAAGAACATGAGTTTAAGCTCACTGTGGTGATGCAAACCTGTAACCTAGCACTAGGGAATTTGAAACGTGAAGATCGAGTTCAAGGCCAGCCTGGGCTGCATGGTAAGATGTCTCAAAAGCAAAAGAAAACAATAAAATGTAAGATTATATATTTTCCTAAAAAAAAAAAAAAATACTTCGCCATCTTCAGACTAAAGCACTATGTGACATTTGTCTAGTTACAGTTTTTAATGCTGTGATGAAACACCATGACCAACAATAAGTTGGCGCACCATGACCAACAATCAGAGGCGCACACCTTTAATCCCAGCACTTGGGAAGCAGAACCAGGTGGATCTCTGTGAGTTCAAAACCTGCCAGTCTACAGAGCGAGATCCAGGACAGGCACCAAAACTACATGGAGAAACCCTGTCTCAAAAAAAACAAAAACAAACAAACAAAAGAAGATGGAGAAGAAAGGGTTTACTTGGCTTACACGTCCACACTGTAGTCCATCATTGGAGGAAGTCAGGACAGGACCTCAAATAGGGTTTGAATCTGGAGGCGGGAGCTGATGCAGAGGTTGTGAAGGGGTGCTGCTTACTGGCTTGCTCAGCTTACTTTCTTATAGAACCCGGGACCCCCAGCCCAGGGACGGCCCCACTGCCCATCAATCACCAACTAGGAAAATACCCTACTGCCTGCTGCCCTATCTTATGGAGGCTTTTTCCCAATTGCGGCCCCCTCCTCTCAGATGACACTAGTTTGACATAAAACTAGCCAGCACAGACCTTAATACTATTTTCTTTTCAGAATGGGGACAGGTTCCTGGGTCAGGTAGTTTAAAGTGGCAGGTTACACACAGCGTTTCAACTGCATGACTACAAACTTTCACAATGTTAATGCACAGTGAGACTCATCTCCAGGGTGGGGCTGCAAAGTGTCCCAGGCCTCTGTCTATAATCCCTTTCTGGGAAAGCCCAGCATGTCTCCATGTAACACCCTCTTGTCAGGCCCAGCCTTCTAGTCTAGAACACTACCACCAGCAAGAGAGAAGAAGCAGATCAGCAGGGCAAGCCCCTTGGCCACCATCATGGCAGCAGCCTCCATGGAGCATCTTTCCCAGGCTGCAGCTACTTCCCAAGTGAGGTGCTTGTGCAGATTTTTTTGTTTTGTCTTTGAGGGTGGGGCAAAGTAGACTTTTAATTCTTAATTGCTGCCTGATTTTTAATATCAACTTGACACAAGCTAGAGTCAACTGAACGGAGGGAACCTCAATTGAGAAAATGCTTCCATAAGATTCTGCTGTAGGCAAGCCTGTAGAGCATTTTCTTAATTAGTGATTGATGAGAGAGGGCCCAGCCCATTGTGGGTGGTGCCATCCCTGGGCTGGAGATCCTGGGAGCTACAAGCAAGCAGCTGAACAAGCCATGAGGAGCAAGCCACTAAGCAGCACTCCTTCATGGCCTCTGTGTCAGCTCCTGCCTCCAGGTTCCTGCCCTGCTTCAGTTTCTATGCACGTCCTTGGTAAAGAACTGTTGTTTTTGGTCATGGTGTTTCAGCACAACAACAGCAACCCTGTGGAGATAAGTAAGACATTATCTTTGTCTTTTTTTTTTTCCAAAAATTACAAGACTTGTGCCTTAGAGTCTCAATATAAATTAGCATGTACAACATAACTAACTGTAAAGCAAAACGGAGCCAATTATTTGGAAATAAGAGCAACACTTCCCATACTCCTATCCCAGTGCCTGCTGTTACTTGATGTCATCATTGCTTTTCTGTGGGTCGTTCACTGTCATCATTAAAATAGTTACATTCCATAAACTCTTCCTCTGCTAAACCCTCTCACTTTTAAACTACTTTCCTGAAGCTGAGAAAGGCCACCATGGAGAGTGGCAGCTGACATCTGTCTGAAGATGCTCTCTTTCCTCCAGCCACGTCCTACTTCCTTCTGGCCCACATCCCACATGATGCTCTCACATCTTGAATTGGTCATGGCCACTTCTCCGTGTAGTTCACCATCCACACTGCTGTTCCTCTTTCTAGACCAACAATACTACTGGCTAAAATGGTCACAAAATTTATTCAGTATCTATCTGGATATTAGCCATCTGGATACAATCTTTTTGTTGGTTATTGGTTATAAAACTGATTTTATTTTATCCAACCAATTCCTTACTACAGTTCTGGAAGATTCTGGATGAGGAAAACAGTGGTCAGCAGGCAGTATTGTGGGGTATCTTTCTGAGAATGCTGAGGGGGTTTGGTGATACAGGTTAGAGCAGACAACTTGCTTCTGCCTCCCCAGGATCAATGTCTTTTTGTAAAAGCACTCCAGTCTTCCCTTGGGAATCATCTCTTCCTTTTCATTGATCCACACAAACTGGGAGAGAATAACATTACCATCCAGAGAGGAAAACAGGACTCAGAAATAGTCCCAAGAATGCACTAGTCAACAATTGGAGATGCAATTCTAAGGGATTTAAACTCAAACAAACTTTAGCTAGAGAACAGAATACAAAGACAATGTCTCCAGAGAAGGGAGATGTAGTCAGACTTTCTTTTCAGCCACCAGCCCCAAATAATGACACGAAGATTTATTATTAAGTATGAAAGCATGGCCTTAGATTAGGCTTTTTCCCAACTAGCTCTTATAACTTAAATTAACCTGTTTTTAGTAATCTACATTCTGTCACATGGCCCAGTTACCACTCCTCTGTACTGTATGTCTGACCTCTTCAGTGTCTCGCTGGCGTCTCTCTCATGCCTAGATTCATCCCAAGCTCCTCTCTCTGCCCAGAAGTCTTGGTGATTTTCTCCTGCTTAGTTAGCTATTATCCATTCAGCTCTTTATCAAACCATCACAGTGACACATCATCATACAGTATAAACAAATATTCCACAATATTTCCCCCTTTTTGTCTAAATAAAAAGAAAAGGCTTTAACTTTAACACAGTGAAACTATATATATATGTTTATATATAGAGAGAAACTATATATATATACATATATATATATATATAGTGTGTGTGTGTGTATGTGTGTGTATACACACACACACACACACACAAAATAAGAACAATTATCAGGTAAGAATTACATTCACAATGTTTAGTCCATTTCATTTGGCAAATGCAGAGA